GAGTATGGGCCATTATAGCAAACCAGTGTTTTTCCCAAGAAGAACTTTGTAGAGCCACAAATTCCTGATTCTTCAGCTAGCTCTCTCCCATCTAAATGTCTGGGCCTCCAGTTCCACAGTGGGATGGTTGGAGTGTGGCCACAGGGCAGAGTCCAGCCGGAACGGGTATGCACTGCTGCCTATGGCTCCTGAGAGGCAGAAGCTCGTTTGCATTTCCAGTTGAACTTCAGCAAACGGCTAAATATTCAGAAACAGGGCTTCCCTGACTTGACACATCATTCAGGAACTCGTGTCCCAGCCCAAGGCCACACCTACCACAGGACACTTTCAGGGCTTCAGGTGTATTGTTCTCCTGACTCTCGGCCACACGATCTGCATGCCTGGTCTCAGTGAAAGTGGCCACATGTTCATACTTTCAGCAGCTGAAGAAAAGCTCACAGTCATACTTGGTGCTCACATAGATAAGTGGCTCTAAGTGGTTCTGGAAAGCCTCGCCAACCAAAGAAGTTGCAGAATGACATGGAGCCAGCAGGACCACAGGGCGACCACTGACTCAGAGAGATCGAAGGCCTGTGGCTGACGAATGCCTGGCCTGCGCTGGGGGCCCCAGCCCTCCTCTCAAGCATGATTAGTGCTTTAAATTCTCAATCAGAAGTGTTACTTACACCTGTTTCACTTAGATGTCCAGCTGTGACCTTGTCCTGTTCTTTCGTTTGGAACAAATTCCTCTGTCTTCTCATTTTGTCTGTCTCTGTGTTAGGAAGGTCAGCTATGTCTCCTGTCCTTGAGGGTAATGGCTTTATGAAGAAGAGGCCCTGTAGTGCCCTGCAGTGTAGTGTTCCCTGTTCTCCAGGGCCTGGCACTTCTTGGAGTGTCTCTAGTGTATGCTCTGCTGTCGTGGCCTGGCCACTTTGTCCTTCAGCCCAGTCATCTGCAGAGGCTCTCTTTGTTTGTTGTGGGCAGTGTTTGGGCTCTGGACTGAATGTGGTGCATTTTAACTAAGTGTGCTCTGGTCTACTTATGAAATAAGACAGGTCTCCACTGTTACCAGAACCGAGGCCTCACCAAAACTCCTGGGTCAGGAGATATGGTGTTGGCAGGGATATGGGCCAGTCTTCTGGGAAAGCCCACACTGAGCCTGAGGCAAGGGTGACTGAAAAGGACAGTTCTTCCACTGGGGGAGGGAGCAGGGTTTGTTCTAATCAAGCTAGGTTGTGAGTGTCAGCCCTGTGCTTATGCTGAGGGGCAGGGGAGGGAAATGATGGCAGCCAATTCCTTTGAGCAAAGAACCTCCCCACTCTGTGTTCCAGGCACTCTGCAGACCGCTGTTTCCACACCGTATGTCTGCGGGCTGTTTGCCTACCTTCCCTCCAAAAGCAGTCCCAATGTCCTCCGAGCCCTCCCAGATCCAAGCATGCTGACCTTTAAAACTCCAGGGTTTAAGCCCTGCTGGTTAGAAGAACTCACAAAACTCCCCTCTCACTTTTCAAGTGCATTGCTATGGGGATTCGTCTTTCCTGTGTGTTCTCTGTGGTAGTGTATCTCTTGCTGGAGACCCCGGATCTCTCCCCACTGCAGCTGCACAACCTATTTCTCTTCCAAGCTGAGTCTCCACACTTCCTACATTCTTCAGTGTGGCCTCTTCTCTACCTTGAGTTGTGGAGTTTTTCTGCCAGTCTTCAGATCAAGTTCTGATCTGATCAAATCAAGGATGATTTGATAATTAAGTTGTATGCATGGGACATGGTGAGCCTAGGATCCTCCTACTCTGCCGATCATCTTCCAAAAACTCGCGTAGGTCTGGGTTTAAAAAGGGTTCATGTGATTAGGTCAGGTCCACCCCGATAATAGGCATAGCTTAAGGTTAACTAATTTGAGACCTTAATTACATCTGCAAAATTCCCTTTCCCGGGTGTCTTACTTTCCTGGGCTGCACGATAAGTTATCCCAAACCTGGTGACTTGTAACAAGAGAAATTTATTTTCTCACAGTTTTGGAGACCAAAAGTCCAAATGTCAAGGTGTTGGCAGGTTGGTTGGCTTCTGGAGCCTCTGAGGGAGAATCTGCTTTATGCCTCTCTCCCAGCTTCTGGTGTTGTTAGCCATCTTTGGTGTCCGTGGCTTGTAGCTGTGTCACTCTTTGTCTCCATCTTCACACGGCCCTCTTCCCCTGTGTATCTCTGTATCTGCCATACTTCTAGGAACACCAATATTGAATTTAGGGTCTACTTCACTCCAGTATCACCTCATCTTAACTAATGATATCTGCAAAGACCCCATTTCCCAAATAAGGTCACATTCTGGGTTTTGGGTCAGCATAAAATTTTGGAGGAACACTATTTAACCCCTAACAGTCCACTGTGGCTCCCTAAAATTGATGTCTGTCTCATGCATGAAATACATCCAACTCCCCCCAATATCCTCAAGTCCTCACCCATTCCAGGATCAACTCTAAATCCCAAACCTCACTTAAATATCAACTCCACAGATTCCAAATGTGATCATCTAAGTCAGGTATGTGTGAGACTGGGTATTAATTTATTATTTGAAGAAATGGCCTATAAGCTAGGGTTTAGAAATAATTTTGTTATGTGGGGACAATTTCTATAAGGTAACTTGACCAATCTTAATTAGGATTATTATAACCATTAGGAAAGACAGCATATATAGCTAAGATATATCACATCTATCAAATACTTACTGGATATTTATTATATACCAGTCACTCTTATAGGTGCTAGAAATATATTATAAATTAAGACTGACAAAATCTCAACCTTCATATTTATATTATGGAACTAAATATGTTCTAAATTGGTAAGTAATCATTATTTTCAGAGAGTATTCTTTATCTTATGTGAATAAATTTTTTTTGATGATTTCTATTTGTGCAGAGCATATATATGACTAGGCCTCAGAAATGCAACTTGTAGGTTATAAGGTCAGTGAGAGGAATGACTGGCTCTCTTGCCTTTAGAACCTACATGGCTATTATATTTCAGTTTAGTTCAACATAAACATTTATTAAGAAGCACCATTGCGTCACTCTTTGGCATGTCATTTGAGGTCATGTGTGTCTGCCTGTATCCTAAGTGACCTCTACATCCCCTTATTCAGCTTATGTCCCAGCCACATAGAAATACTTGCTGTACCCTGAACACATTTTTTAAAATTATTTTTTAATTTAATTTAAAATAAATTTAAATAAATTTAAATTAAATTATATTAAATTACATACAGTGCAATACTGGTTTCTGGAGTAGAATTCAGCAATTCATCACTTACATACAACATTCAGGGCCAGTCATAACAAGTGCACTCCTTAATACCCATGGGCTAGATGAGTGCATCTAGCCCATCCCCCACCACCTCCATCAACCCTGTTTGTTCTCTATTGTTGAGTTTCTTACTTTTTCTCTCCTTTTTACCCCCTTCCCATATATTCATCTATTTTCTTTCTTAAATTTCACATACGAGTGAGATCATACAGTATTTGTCTTTCTCTGACTTATTTCACTTAGTATAATACCCTCTAGCTCTATCCATGTCCTTGCAAATGGCAAGACTTCATTCTTTTTGATGTCTGAGTAATATTCCATCATGAACATAAACCATTTTCTTTTCCCATTCATGTCAATGGACGTTTGGGCTCTCTCCATAGTCTGGCTGTTGCTGATAACGCTGTTACAAACATCAGGGTGCATGTATCCCTTCGAATTTGTACTTTTGTATTCTTTGGGTAAATATCTAGTAGTGCAATTGCTGGATCGGAGGGTGTGAACACACCTTTTTATGACACACTTGTGCTTTTGTTCATGTTCTTCTTTCTGCCTGGAAATACTTTGTTGTTGGAAACTTACTCATTCTTCAAGACACAGCCCCAATGCTACTTCTGCACAGTCTTCATATCTGCTATCCCATGGCCAGAGTTAATTGTACCTTATTCTATATTCCTACATAATTTGGCTCAGCATTCTTATTGGGTCTTCTTTATATTATCATAAACTGATTAGTTTCTCCAACTACACTGTGAACTATTTAAGAGAATTAATATTTTATGTGCACATATTTGCACATAGTAGGCAAATAGTGAATGAATAAATATACATTTTAAATGGTTTTAAATCACTATTCTATACCCAAAACTAATATTACACTGTTAACTAACTGGAATTTAAATAAAGACTTGAAAAAAAAAAAAGGTGCTAAATTTCAAAATACACAAAAATTATTAACAAGGATTCCTGATACCTTAATTTATATGGAAAAATGTTCATTGCTTTTATTAGTTATAGTTTAATTATAAAAGCATGGGAATATAAGAATTATTTATTATTTATGAGTGAACCATTTACTATTGAATGAAATTAAATAGTAAATAGTAAATATAAAAATACAAAAACCAAAATGTTATTTTATACATAATAGTGATTAGAAATTGTGTTTCTGGCACAAAATCTTTTCTTCATTATCCATTTTCTTGAGTACTGTGTAACAAATCCATTCTACTCAAAAAGTGGTTGGGAAGAATAATATAGTTAAAACAATAGGCCATTTTTATATTGTAATTGTGCCAAAAGTAATCAAAAGAAGAAAGTCATACTTCTTGTATTTTGACAACATGTGAAAGTAAAGGATTTTTTTCTATTATACCTTTGTAATTACTATCCATGTTTACCTGTTTTGATAATGGAAGTCTTTTTGTTACCATATTAGCAACCTGGAAAGAAGTTTTTGATTTGCGGGAAGGTTGATATTCTTGGCATAGCTGTTCAAAGATTGAAGCCTTGGGAAACAAAATAATGAGCTAACATGAAATATTAGAGTTTGTAATTTATAATATTGTTCTGCTTTGGCATTTTATTCTTATTTGGAACTTTTGTTTACATGATTAGATTATGATTAGAAAACATAATAGAAGAGAAACTGTTGCAATTTACAGTCTCTCAATTGGCAGATGAGCCATTCTAACCATTTCCTGTTTGTTCACATCTATTGCAGGCTTAGTCCTCCTGTCCTTCCACTGTGCTCCTTAAAGGAAATACAACTGTCTACTGATAAATTTTTCAGAATGGAACCATCTGGAATTACCAACGGTTGTTTTCTTTCTGTTCTAACAAGGGAGGTAAGGGGGAAGAACTCCCAGTCCATGTCATATGTTGGAATGAAGAAACAACAAACCTTATAAAGAACAACCTAGGTACTTTGTGAACATTTTGTAATGGTGAGGCTTATGAGTACCCACCATTTGCATTGACATGGATGGGACTGTGAGGAGATTGTGCTGAGTGAAATACGTCAAGCAGAGAAAGACATTTATCCTATGGCTTCACTCTAATGTGGAACATGAGGAATAGCACAGAGGACCACAGGGGAAGGGAGGGAAAACTGAATGGGAAGAAATCAGAGAGGGAGACAAACCATGAGAGACTCTGGACTCCGGGAAACAAATGAGGGGTACAGAGGGGAAGTTGGTAGGGGGATGGGGTAAGCAGGTGATGGGCATTAAGGAGGGCACGTGTTGTGATGAGCACTGGGTGTTATACGCAACTAATAAATTGTTGAACACGACATCAAAAACTAATGATGTACTATATGCTGGCTAACGAAAATAATAAAAAAATTAAATAGCTAAAAGACAGGAGAAAGAGTTACTACTATGTGGCACAAATCCCTGTTTTTTTTTTTTTAAGTGTATTTATTTATTTATTTATTTAGTAAACTCCACACCCAACATGGAGCTCGAACCCATGACCCTGAGAGCAAGAGTTGCATACTCTTCTGAGACAGCCAGGCACCCCCAAATCCCTATTTTTTTTTAAATCATTTTTTAAAAATTTATTTTCAGCATAATAGTATTCATTGTTTTTGTACCACACCCAGTGCTCCATGCAATCCGTGCCCTCTCTAATACCCACCACCTGGTTCCCCCAACCTCCCACCCCCAAATCCCTATTTTTATCTTTCTATTCCTCCTGAGCTTTCCTCCCTTGCCTGCTCTCCACCCCCACTTTCTAGGCACTTTGCCAACATCTAGTTCCTCTTCGCTCACATGGAAGAAATAAGTTCTAGAATTTCCTTTTTTCTATCAGATTTACAAAAGGGGAACTTTACCAAAAAGTCATTTGCTGAGGTTAATGGGATGTATTCAGGCCTAAGGCCTAAAAACCATTTCTTTTATAGTAATAAAGGTACTCGTTTATTTTTCCTGAAACTGAGAACATTTGTGGTGTACACAGCCACAGGTAGCTCCGACATTTAGTAACTGCTTCTTTTAATTGCAGCGGGACCCATCTGAGACAGTGTCTGTGAAAGACGTTTTGGCCCGCGCTGCAGCAAAGGGTCTGCTGGATGGAATTGAGTTGGGTAAATCTTCAAAACGGGAGAAGAAGAAGAAAAAATCAAAAATATCTCTGCCGAAAGCTCCCACCAATGACAATAACAGCATCCAAATGAAAATCACTGAGTTCCTGAATCGAGAAACTAATGTAAATGCTAATCGGTCAGAGATACTAACAACAAAAACATCTCTTCCACAGAAAAATGCAACTTCAGGGGGCTTCTCCTTGCAGGTCAGAAAACCCAGCAAGCCTGCCACCAACCCCTTAGTGCCTACGTTTATGAAGAACACAGCTCACCCCAGACCACACGAACGGCAGACAAACTTCCTAAGACCGCGCCCAGAAGGCAGAGTGATTGCACTGAAACCTATAGAGATTGTTTTGCCTCCAGTAATGTTGCCATTTTCAAGTCCCCAGGGGATCAAATCTCAGATACCAACTCAACATTTTTACTATCATTGGGTTGCACCCAAGACTGGTCACTTTGCCTCACCAGCAATAACCAGAAGAGGGGAAAAGCCTAAGGAAAACTCACCTTCCTCCCTACTCAGGCATCCTCGACCATGGCTTTGACTGGATTTTTTTTCAGGGGTCAAGAGCAGTTGATTTTTTTTTTTTTTTTTTTGGAAGTCTGATATTTCTCTGAAGGTTAGATAACCCTACACAAGATACTCACCCTTTGGGTCACTTAGTGTCTTCTACATGTGATATTACCTTCAAGAGAATGAAGACAAGTGAGAAACAATAATGTAGGCGACTCAACAAAAAGCCGAAGTCCTGTATTTCAACAGCTCAGTGCTGATCTGTTCCAGAACGTCTGGCTGCAGACCCAGGACCAGCTGTTAGAACTTGTCTCCCTCTTGCTAACTTTCAGTTGGGACTCGGGACACCGTTTTAAGAGGAAGTGGCAACAATTTTTTCCTGAAGTGAAACACGGCCTTATAACAGACTCGAGGCGGCTGTGAAGAAAGCGCAGAGAGGGAAAAGACGCTGGCCCCTCGCACTGACTTTAGCTTGCTTTTCCGTATCTGTTCCGTTGTGGTTTGACATTTTCAATTACCATGGGAGTCGATTTTTTTCCTTAAGTATCAAAATATTCTTAAACACAGGATGGCACGAGTTTTTGCGATGTGACTGAGACTGAGTCGGAGTGGGAAGAGCGGGAGGTTCTGAAGCTCCTGGTGGGTAGCTCAGCTCCTTGCTCGTTATTACCAGAGCGAGAAGTTTCTCGTCGGGGGAGCTTCCAGGATCCCGAGCAGATGGAACATCGCCCACTGTCCCTGCTGACCGCACCAGATACGCTTGTAGAAAAGGGGCTGTACACAGGCTGCCGTCTAAGTAGTAGTAATTCTGAGGAAGAGGCAAACCTGCTGAATACAAGTGACACCGGTGACTGAAGAAACCCATAGAAATGTCTGATTCTGTTCCAAGATCAGGTGAAACGGTAAAATCTACAAGTCATCCCGAATGGTACGTGGTAATCAAACTTTGGTAAATCATTTCCGATGCGCAGTTAAAATACATTGTAGCGCTACGTGAACTATATTAAAAGTCAGCTCACCTTGAATGTATTATCAATTGCCTACCAAGAATTGGTATGATTATCATTTCTGGGTCTATTGATTCTTTTTTCATCATGGAAACAGAAATTGTTTGACATTAAATCAAATAAGTTACAAGTATGAAAACTATTGTTTCAAAATGTTCATAAACACATTAAGTTTGAATATAAAGTTCTATTTTCAGAATCCAGTTGTGTCGAACAGTGTTATGTAAATTCCTACATTTTCAATTCAGGTGGCATGATTTCACGAGAACATTATCCTCTTCAAGATGAATTTTTAGGCGTATTTTCGATCTCATATTCGAGTCTTTCTCACTTGAAGTGAGGATAAACAAAATGGTGAATTTCATTTTAGTAGGAATAAAACTTTATTTTTGCTGGAAATTCACATTTATTAGAATGTGTCAGTGAAGAAGGGGAACAAGCTTTTATATCCTTGAACTTCTATTTTAAATCCCCAAAGAATTCTCTAGCTAATTAGGACTCTCAAAAAGTGCAGAAATGTTTTAAATGCCCAGCTTAATTTACTGATTTCAAAAATTAAAAATGATAGAGCTCTTTGTTTCAAAAATAAGGTCTTTCAGCGTACTCCCTGCTGTCTGGCTCTGAGCGCTCCAGGCCTCGAGAAACTCGATAGACGCGCAGCTGAATTGAACTTCGTTGGGTCAACGGCTGGTATTTTATTGCTGGTATTTTATTCCTGGAATCGCTTATCCCTCCTGCCCTCTTCTTCTGCTCCAGGCTGAAAAGCATCCCATTGTCCAAAAGTAGCAGGTCTGAGATATTTACTTTTCTGAGATGTTATAAAAACTCTCACTGTGGAGGAATAGTTCAGGATATTTTTCTGATAAGCTTGTGATTCACGTCGTTATCACAACTTAAGCCCCTTATTTTCGGTATCTCATAGCACGCATCTTGTCACCGTACTTCTCTTTAGAAATACATGGAGATTTTGAAAAATTCATTAAGCCTGTAGTATTCTTCTTCGAGGGTCTTCTAAGAAGGATGTGATCAATTAAGTACTTTTGTAGAGTAAAAAAAGGAAAAAGACTTTGGACAAACATGCAAGGAGAATATCGATTACACTCAGATTTCCCATTCTTGAACTTCTTAAGGTGCTGCAAAAATCTAAAATAATGAACTTACTGGTAGATTTTCAATAGCAAATTTGATCTGAAATTACTTACCACTAATATAATACCCGAAACCAAAATGAAATTTTGTTCCTTCAGAGTAACTGCCTTTGATGGAATAAGAAACTGGGATGAGGCAGTGGGTGGGGGCAGTGATGCAAGATGAACCCCCCAAATGGGTACACACTCTAAATTCCACTTATCTTCGTTATGTCTGACAGTTAAACTAGCCCAGATCTAACTGGCTTTTCTGGTCACCTTGATTTTGGATTTAGTGCCTGTACAACTTTATTCTTCATCCTCTTTAAAAAAAAAAAAAAAAAAGATTTTATTAGAGCGAGCAAGTGCATGCACAACCAGGGGGAACGGGAGAGGGAGAAAGGGAGCCCAGTGCAGGGCTGGATCCCAGAACCCTGGAATCATGAGCTGAGCCAAAGGCAGCCATCTTGAATGTATTATCGAATGTATTATTGACTTAATGACTGAGCCATCCAGATGCCCCTATTTTTCATTCTTTGACGTCAGGTTCTTAAAAGGAATGAAAGCCGGACTACCTTCATATGAGGACTGCTTACACAAGTCTTGAGTTAGTGACTAAGGACGCTAGCTGTCCTTCCTGATCACCAGATAAGGGCAGTGTGATAAATTATCCAAAATTTAAAGCTGCTTTCTAGTTCATACCAGGTGACAAGCTGCAGTAACAATCTTCAGAGCAGAATCATTACCAAAATGATTTGTAATTTGAGGTAAGAATCATCTGAAGAGAAAACGACTAACGTGGAGACACTACACTTGCATTTCCACTCCTGGGGCTACAGGACTGAGAGGTCAGAGAAACGAGCCAGACATTTTGTGCAGCTAAGTTTATTCTCACAACATAGTACATTAAAATGTGTAAAAGTGGTCGACAGCAAACGGGGCAGAAAGCAAAAGCAAATGTTCTTTCGGGATAAACAAGCCGCTTTGGATGGCAGGGAGTGCTGTCACGGATAAACCGCGAGCGCAATCTTCTCTCGGAAGCTAAAGCAAATTAAACTGCATTTTCCTGGCTGTGTAACACACATGTCAGCTGTGTATTAGGTTAAGGAAGCCTGGCAAACTAGAGAGCTAATGGTTTTACGAGTCAGATTGTGCTAGAATTGGTTGGGGATAGGTTTTTCATGTTGTTTGTGAAATCTTGAATTTGTGTTGCAATGCTTAAGGAAACGAGAGTGTCCTACAAGAAAAGGAGGAAAGATTTCGGGCTTTCTAGTAAGTGACCTTGTATGGAATTGTCTTGCCAATCTCCGTCATAAAATCAGAGTGGATTTTTAAAAAAGTAGCTGTGCCAACAGTTTATCACGAAGAACTGACTTGAATGGAAATGGGTCTAGTGTCCCTTCATGCAATCAGACAGACACAAACAGAAAACAAGGGTCCTAAGTAGCTAGGGGTGATCTTCTATCCGGGTGGAAACAAAGGGCTGTGGACATGTGTCTTCCAGGTGAGATCACATGGGCTGTGAAGGATATAAAAACAAAGCACCAAGCGGTGCTTTTCAATTTGCAAAGTAAAGTTTTTGCCACAGGCGTGTCGGCTGTTCCCCTTGATGCCGCCAAGGAGCACAGAGATGAGGTGGCAAGTCTGCGTCTATCTAGCTGCTTTTAAAAAATAAAAGGACCTTTAAGCATTTTTGCCATTTCTTCTACATATTCCAATAAAAATGTGACTACAAATCATTACAAAACCACCTCTGAGGCGATGTAGAGTTCACTGAGATTACGTAGGCCTGGATACGCTGGGAGAGAGTATCCAGTAAAGAGAATACATTAACACAATAATGCAGTATATTTCAGTAAAAATAGAATAAATAAAATAAAAATATTTCAAGCCGTATTTAACAGGTTAGTTAAAACAATGGTAAGACGGACGGGGCCTAGCGGACACGGCCGCCGGTTTACCGCGTCGCAGGTCGACAGAAGATGCATAGATAACTCCCGTGTCACCACAGCGTCGGGGGTGGGGGGGACACCGCGCCCTCTCACGGAGAAACACATGCACGCCGTCACACGTACTTTTTGGCCATGGCAGAAAGTGTCTGAACGCTCTGGTTAACGTAATGAATTTCACAAAATTAACTGCATTTAGGACGCAAAGCTATTTTCAGAACCGAGTATCTGCAGGAAAGTTTTCAGTTATGTAAAGGCTATCGTTCATCTTGACGCACCCTATGATTGCATATATCAAGCAGATTGCTACTTAAAGCTAGCTCAGTATTCTTGACCCTGAAGACAAACAAAGGTATGCCTTAAAAAATGAACAGAGGGCTCTGGTAGAGATTTCCAATATAAAAGTGGGTGACTTATTCAGAATTTTTATCGCACTAAAACCTTTCACTGTCGAGGTCGAGATGAAAGATCATCGTGACTCAATTTTGAACAGCTTTTCAAAGGGCACAGTAAGGACTTTCTTATGGCAATAATTTCTTATGATGGCACTGGTTACTTCAGATAGGACAGCATTAGGCTGGTGAGAAGTGGGATTCATTTCTAGGGTGGCATCTTTTTTGTCATAACACTACAGCGCTAGCGAGCAGTTCCAGAATTCTGAGGGAACAGAGGCAGGAGGCCTCCGACGCCATCATGTTCTCCGGTGGCTAAGTACCGCCGGTTAGGACTATCTCTACCACAGGTAACACTACCTCAGGAAAATCTCGGAAGTTGCACAGGCTGTGTGGCATGTAGGATCCTGTTCTCTACAACATGATTGAGGCACACTGAAGGGAGAGAGGCCCGGACTGAGAGGATGACGGTTTTATGATTAAGACCGCTGTGTGAGGAACTTGGATGTACTCCCTTCCTTCTACAGGGAATTCTAAGGTTTCCTGACAGGGACTGGATAAGCCCAGAGTAGTTGTGGAGAGAACTCTCCTCACTGATGCAGAAGCAGCATGACTTATAACAGAGCGGGGAAGCACGGGTTGTCGTCCCGGCTCTCGCACAAACTTCTGAGGGATCTTAGGCTACGTGACTGAGCCTCTTCGTACTTTATATATACATTTTTATTTCTCAAATGTGTTTAGTACCTTTCTCTACCTCCTAAGGCTCAAATGGGATAAGACTGTGGAAACCATTTTAACAAGTACATCACAGTGGATAAACAAAGTGTTACTTTTTATAACTGGATGTTTAAAAATGTTAATTTTGACATTAAAAAGTAAATAAGACATATTTAGATTGGTCTCCTTAGCAACTTCCTTTTAAGACAACAATGTCAGCAAGAGTCTAAATCTGTGCATCTTTATAGGTGAGAAAAGAGAAGCCGGAAAATGCTATTTTGGGGAAACTCGTTAAGCAGTCCATTGTTGCTATGTATTTTTTGCTCTGATATGAAATTTCTAACTCTTGAAAAAAATATAAATTTAAAAATAGAGCTGGTA